TTTTTTTCCCCTCCTCTCCCTCCTCCATTTTAAAATGTGTTTTTCGTTGTAAACTTATCTTGCTGACCTTTTTATTTCTTTGCTGGTGATTATGGTTTTGGTCGTTTTCCTCAGCTTGAGGAATAAGAAAGGTGTCAGAAAATACAATGCAATTCTTTCAAATTGGCTTTTATTGTTTTACCAAGCAGCTTGGGTTTTCAAATCCAGTGTAAAGTCATTTGATAAGAAAAAAATAGTTATGTTTTCAGAGATGAGATGGGCTTTTGAACATTTGATCAGGTGGGTCTGTTTATATTGCCTGTCCCTAAAATTGGTCATAGCAAAATACAAAAAAAAGTCCCTGCTATGAGTTATTTGCACTAAAACAGGCAAAACACAAGTCATAGACAAAATGGAGGAGAAGACAAGTAGAACAAACTGGTCATTTGATGTTAATATCTTATTACCATGATTTTGATGCTTTTATGGCTCGCTTGTTCTGTCAGAGGTTACATTTCTGAACGCGTGTTCCTGACCTGATGTACAGCAGAACTGTAGCTGGGGAAAGCAGGAAAAGAGATGGAGAAGGCTCAGAGAGAAGGCTGTACATAGGTCCGGTCCCTCTTGTAATTGCTCTATTGAAAACAGCAAAAGCGTGCCGTGAGTAAAACTGGTTTTAGTTATATGATTTTAATTTGGCTGGTCCCTGGTTGAGGAAGAGAAAAGTGTGGGTTAAATTCAGTGACCAGGATGACAGTTCACAATGACAGGAAAAATGCTGTGTGTAATAGTAATTGTAATGCTTTGCAGTGCTTTTTACTTAACCTATCATTTTCTCAGTGCCCTCCTTCATTGCCCTTTAGATCTTTCTCTTATTTTGTTTGTGGTATCAGAACTCTTGCAACAATATGTACTACAGGCATGTTACTAGCGTCCTGCTTCCTTATCACTCAGCTCACGTGGCTATCCCGTCTGCTTTTCTATTTTTGTTTTCCCCAAAAATCTTGAGAAACCTCACTGCCAGCAAACATTGATTTTAATTGTACTTGCATAGAAAATTTCACAAAGTGCAGTGCTAAAAGCAGTGTTTAAAGCACTGTGCAAACAATACATCATTAAATCATGTCTACCGTACTCTGTGAGATGATGTAGAAGCAGGTAGAAGTAAGCAGAGAGAAGTAAGGCAGAGACATGAAGGTCACAAAGGAGGCTGGAAGAGAGGTCAAAAGTTTGCTTCTCCTAAGATTGTGCCTACTTTTTGAATGTTTATATCTTCCAAGGCGTAGCTGTACAGTGGTTTGCATTTTAAAGACTACATTCTGTGCACAAATTGATAATGATAATTTCAGTAGCTGAACTGGCAGGATAGTATCAGGTACAGCATGTGGTATGTATGTGTTTGAGTAAGCAGCCTGCTGTTGTCCTTGCAGTAAATCTCATAGAAACTATAGCTTCTCATGTAAGGTAGGTGATACATTTATATGAATCCTATGCCCCTAATGCCTTTACTGGAAGAATTCTAATTTCCTTGGATGATAGTGGGAGAGACACGTTAGGAGGTTTGTCTGAGCCCTTTTCTCTCATTACTTTTGCATGTGTTGACTTTGCCTGCTCTGCTGGATAGAACGGGTGCATCAGCATCCCGTACTGTTTTTCTTCACATGGAATGTGAGAATTCAATACTTGCTGTATTAGATCCGAGGAGAATTTGTGAACAATGCAGGCTTTGTCAGTCAGCTGTTTTCCTTGTGCTCATGTAGAGCTCCTTGAGAGCTGTTGCTTGAAGGCTCAAAACAGTACGTAGTGCAGACAGAAATCTTCATGGTATCTGACTTAATTGTTACAAACTACTGAGTTTTTAATTTGTTCTATAATCTTGTGCTGTTAAGAGGCAGCCCACCTTGAATTATAAGCGTATGATATGAATGTTAGTGATGATAACTCTGCCTTGTCTATCATTGTTTGCTTGGGGGAGGGAGGGGGAGGAGGTTGCCATACGGCTACCTCCATTCTCTTCCCTTCCCTCAGTTCTCATATCATGTAATGCTCCAGTACTGCAGAATTGCAATAATGACTTGCTTATTGCCTTCCAGTTGAGGTTTTTAGATTGAGTCTTTTCATGTTTAATAGCTTGGATTATTAGATTTGAATTCTATTTTTTTTTCCTGGGTGACTTTTTTGTTGACTATAGCTCTTTGCTCAGAAGTTTGCTTTTTCATGTTATAGCAACATCCAAAGATTACTATCCCAGTTTCCACCCTGCCATGTAGTTTACAAACACACAGAGAAAAATAGTCTGTGGGAACTTTCACAGCATAACAAAAGATGCAACAATATTTTGTAACAACCTCTTTTAAGGCGTAGGGGAGGAAACCACTTACGCTAGCTGTGTTAACCTTGCTTATTTTTTTTATTGCAGTAGTATCTAGAGGCTCCACTTGCATTGCATTACCTATTACTCTGTGCACTGGGAAAACATATGAAACTGAAGATTATCCCACCCAGCCACCCTCTCTGTATGTGATAACTTCATATTGTGTAGTCTGCCATTTCAGTACCTTTCATATGTGTTGTGTTATCCTTTTGGACCCCTCTTTTCCATTTTTCTTTTGTTTTAATGGTACTTTCAAACTGAGCTAGGCCAAAGCTATGAAAGTAAAGGATCATTTTGGATAATAAAACACCCAACAAACTTTGTAATAAATAATAAACCCTTTGGTTACTTGGAGAAGAGAGACGTACGTTAAAGGACCGACTAGCGTAACTCACCTGTCTGACGTCCTGCTTGGCAGGAGCTGTCAGGGCAGGCAGCAGCGCCACTGCAAACTAGACACAGTTTTTGCTGTTTCTTGCCTGGTTTGGGGTGTATTAGGGGGCATCAAGAAGAGCTCTGGCGATTGTGCTGTGGGAAGGGGACAAAGGTGCAAATCCATAGGAGGTCAGCCTCATTAGTTCCAGTGTTCAGAAAGCAAGTTGTTTTTCAATTAGATTTTTTAAATTAACGGTGTCCTTTTATGCTACATCTCCGTGTGTGTATGTTATTGGTCTGGTATTTAATTAAAACCACAGCTGGTGATCACTTAATTATAATGTACAAAAGGGAATAATACTTACTTGACTGTGTAGCGTGGGCTTACTCAATTTAGAGAATTGTAGCCTTTTTTTGATCTACTGTTTGAAGGCTGTGGTGAGGGAAGCAAGATCTGATGAACAAGCAAGCTAGTGAGTTTCATTGCAACACTTCCCGTCTGTAGAGGGAACCAAGTGAAACAGTGGCTTATAAATTCACCAGCTTTCCTGAAGAGCGGAAGTCATGTATGAACAGATTGGTAAAATTAGTCTGGTGCTTGTTTGTCCATATTTTCCTGTGGTAGGAAGAAATGATTCAAAAGGCCAAGAATACTTCAAGATTCAAGGAATGTCGGAGTTTATTAAGCAATTTCAACACACGCGTTTGAAAGAAGCAGGCCTGAATTACTGGTTTTTCACTTGAAAAATGAGGCGGCCTCGAGAATCTTAAACTTACTGCGACATAAATAGACGCACATGCAGATTTTCCACTGAAATGAATAACTCTGCATGTGCGTATGACTTCTTTTGTAACTGACATAATAAAAATATTTTAGACTGAGCTGACAAATGAGGATGCCCAGAGCCTCTAGCCTAGCTGGTTATACTGGAATTAAAACTGCAGAAAGCACATCCAGAATCGTCATATAATTGTTGTTTCTGTCTTGAAGCCGGAATTGGCCTTTTCTGTAACAATTGGAGTGCTATATATGAAGGAACTGTTGCCAAATAATCTAGTCTCTTTGCTCTGTTATAACTACTTGCACGTGTCAGTACACAGGAACACCTGTGCTTTGCTGGCTTCCGGTATTGTAAACTGTTTCAGTACAGATATCAACATTGGACTCATTAGCAGATTGACTGGAATTGGAGCAATAAAAATAACTTAAAAGAGACCCACCCAATAAAACGTCAGCCTGAGTGAAAAACTGCAGTAGTCTGACTGGAAGACTAGAAATAGGGTTTGCGTTTCGGTCTGAGTCTTGGCAGCAGGGCAGTGTTTGCCTTGTTGCTCAGTCCAGGGTGAAAGGTCGTTTTTGTTTTCTCACCCGATATAATTTGGAATTGTTTCTTTACTACTACAAAGAAAGACTTCTGTATTGCTGGTTGTTTTTTTCCTCCGGACTTTTGAGTTGTAGCCATCGCTACTGAATATTGAATTCTAACCAATGCGTTTGGTGTGACAGTGAATGGGGTGTTTAGGAGAAAGAGAGTGTGCATGAGTTTTGAGTGTTGGATTTTTTTTTTAAAGTAAGAATTGTAGATTTTGTAGATTATGCTAGTTATCCTGGTCTGATATATATTTCCACAGGTTACCTGTTAAGTATAGAATGCATCTTTCATCCAAATAAGCTATTACAGAAAGAAAAACAGTTCAAGGTTTTCATCTGCAGCTTCAGTAAATCTGAATCATTGAAGCCCGCTGACATGAGACTCAGAAAAATGACAAGTGTGAAGCAGTAGCTTGAAGTGGAGTATGCATTAGTTGCAAAGTAAAATTGAGTCTTATGAATGGAGTTATTTGCTGCACCCGCGTGGAAACCTCTGCATGTCTGAAGGCATTAAAATGTGATGTACATTTTTTTTTTTATAGTGCAAATCTGAGTCAACTTTTAATCTAACACAAGGCTTGAGCTACTTTCTACTAAACTAATGTTAGAACTAATGTACACATTTCCAGCAGCATTGGACTTCATCGTATTTATCCTTTCAGTGCGTTTTCTGAGGGCGGAATGTGTATGCTGTCTAGAGAGAGAATTCCATATGAAAAGTATTCAGTGGTATGTGGATTACTTTTAGACTCTTTTGTAATATGAAAACTTCTGTTTACCACTACAGAAAACCACCAGTACTGTAACTGCTAAATAATATTTTCTCTCCTTTCAAATACTACTGCTGCTTATGGTATAGAAATTGGTTAATTTGTTTTTTCTTTCCTTTTTGTTTTCTAGCTCCATTTAGCAGCCCTGGCATCATTAAAGGGAGACATAGTGGAGCTTAATAAACGTCTACAACAAACAGAAAGGGAGCGTGACCTGTTGGAAAAGAAATTGGCAAAAGCACAGGTGAGCCGTAGTCTAAGATTCTGAAAACGGTCCTTGGTTTTCTGTTGTCCTTGCTCTTTGGAGAGCAATGTGGTGCTTGGAGAGAGGGTGAAGTATGTTAACCAAGTCATGAGTGAAAGAAGATTTCAAGATTGTATAAGAAATATACTTGCAGTGGTTTTAAGTTTTGTGTGCTGATGGCATTCTTTAAAAAAAAAAAAAAAAGTCAAGAAATGATTAGATTAGTTTTGTGTTCAAGTCAACATAAACGACCTGTTTTAATAGAGAATGTTTTAAAATATCTCAGAAAGAAGTTGCAGCACGCTCTTACTGGCCTGGGTAACTGACTGCAAAATCTTTAGCTCATGAGTCAGATGCAAATACAGCACAAGTTAACAATGATAAAAAGTTCTTGTCTGTTGGTAGTGCTTTGGTGGTATGTGAGAAGTGGTTCTGTGATCTGTTTAGCTTTCAGTAAGCCATTTTCTCTGGGAAAACACTGTCGGTGGAAAGCCAAGGGTTAAATAAGAATAAGGTCTGAACTATAATTCTTTCTCAGCTCTTAAGTCTTTTCAGAATTGGACTATTATTCTTTGTCTTTATATCTACGATAAACAAAACCTTTGTTTTCCCCATACTGTTGTTCTGGCAAATACCTTTTATAAGTGCTTTACAGTTCAAAACTGATTCAAAACATATGCTTGAATTTAATGGGGTTAGAAAGAGAAAAGAATGTCTGATCACCTACTGACTCACAGACTATTGTTTTTCAGTCATTTACACTTCCATAGAGCAAGTCAAAGCATTTTGTCCAGTAAAGCATCCCATCTTGATCTGAAAGCACCAAGCGCTGTGACTCTTTCATTGTTAGTTAGATTTTCTTAAAAGACATTAAAACATACTTAAATTGTCTCTTTTCAGCTTCCATTCACTGGTTCTTATTATGCTTTTTCCCATTAATTTAGAGTCTTTAGTATTCAGCATGTTCTTGGTGGGGGCTTGTATCTTTGAGTGGATATATACTGGGGCATTGCCTAAAAAACAGGGGTTACTTTAACTAAAGCCAAATGTAGAAATGTTTATGGAGCTTACATTTTAAGTCTTTTATTTCAACCGTATTTTGGCCCTTGTCTGAATTCACTGATTTTTTTTTTTTTAAAGCTACCTTTAGGGTTCACAAGCTTATAAATAATATTTTTATTGCAGCCCATCAATGCAACACTGTTATAGTCTTTAGTCACTTGGATATATGACCCAGAGTCACATTGGGAGTTCATATTGAAACATTTTTCAGCTATAATCCTGAGATTCCTTTTTTAATTTATTGTTCTCTGAGGTTGACTCCTCTTTCTGAGACAGTTTGATATGAGACTGCATTTGGCAATCATTAAACAGTCAAATGGGTCCACTGTACCCAAATAATCTACATCATCTTCTGCTAACCACAAATCTTTAGTAGTGTTCTATATGTATTTCCAGATATTTGTTAAAATATATGTGTACGTGTGTGCTTCAGTCTATGAGTAGCACATTGCAGGTGCTCCCGTGCAACGATGATTCCCCGTTGGCAGTGACTTTTGGAGGGATTTTTGTTTAATCAGCCCTTAGTCGCAGTGAACACATGCTCTGGTGATATTCCATGAAATTGGGGTTTTGTTTGACTGGTTTTGTTTGTTACCAGCGCATGCATGTGTGCAGTGCTCAATTTGTAACACTGAGCGTTTTTTTCATGGTCGTGTGCTGTGTGGTTGTGAACACGAGTAATGATGGCTGTCTGTACTATGGATGTGATAAAACCAGAATATCTGGCTTTTCAGAGTCTCTGAAAGCTAGTGTGCTCTTGCCATACCTTTTCTCCAAGCTGAAATAAAGACTTTGGGGACACACTGAAAGGAGAAGATGCAAAGGGTGGGAGTGGGGCAGGAGAGGAAGACTGATGGGAATAGAGAAACTTTAAGATGTTTCTGGACTGACTGAGCTTAACTAGTTATCCTGGGGTGGTTATTTAGGGCAGTCCGTCATTGCTGTAATGAGAAGGATAACTGGAATGCCGTAAGCGTTCTGTAATGATATGGTTGTGGCTGGTTGCAAACTTTGTCACAATTGTTTTTTTGGGGGAAAAAAAAGTTTTAACGAGCGATTTCTATAAAGTTTTCATGTTTCGGTTCTTTTCAAATTCTTTTTTAAAAGCTCTGAAGTGGATAGAGAATCGTTTGGGTGTGACTGACATTTTAAAATAAAATCCAGTCCGTCATAAGGAGTAAGTCATTAAACAAGCACAGCTCAAACATTCAGTGTGTTGGCTATGTTTAAGTGCTGAGACACACTCTGGTGATACCACCTCATCTTTTCTTCTTTTTCTAACTGCATCACTTCCTTTTTCAAGTAGATGCTCCATTTAACATCATTTTTTGAACTTTTCCTCCCACTCCGCAGAGGATCATCCAAATGTGTGTCATATCGTATGTCATTTTTTCTCTACAACCTAATGTATTTCTCCCTCACTGATGCACATCAGAGGCTCAGAAGGCATAAATTAAATAAGGGATATTTGAGGTTCTGCGTAACCATATTCAGGTGCTAGTGGCTCAGTATTAAATCTCTTCTGCATCTGGACTTTACTTACGAAAGCAGCCCTTGTTTTCAGCTCCATTGACATGTTAAGCTCTCTCTAGAACAAATGGCTCTTGGACCATGTTTTGGTAACAACTTTCCTATCCTTTTGTGAGGCATATGAGACACCTTGGAAAGAAAGGGGATTAGTGATTTGCAGAACAGAGGTAATCTGAGGAGCTGTGGTATAAGAATTAGAGGTGGCAAATGGTTAAGAAAGATGGTTGGAGAGCTCATGCTTAGAATTTTTATAAAAGGAAGTAATTGATGGTTTGATGGAGCAGAGAGAACGAAAGCCTGTTTAAGTGATCGGATCAAAGGGCATATGTGGACATTCCTGTATTGTTTGTTCCTGATGTGCAGCAGTCATGCAGGGATGCTGGGCCTAGGTAGCTCCCCCCGGGCATACAAGGCAGCGGAGGTTGTGTTAGCATAGCAGCCTGCCTGAGTGAGTCCCTTCTCCCTCTGCTGCTCGTTATAATGAAGAACCCTTTGTGTACATCCCTGCTCAGTCCTCCTTCCCCGAGCTGGGGGGGTAGCTTATTTTCGTTATGGCACTGTAACTTGCTGCGTTCCAGTTTTTCAGCTGCTTTTATGATTGGGATGCATAAAAGTCTGCGTTCTCTACTTTTGCCCTACTTGTGTTCCTGCTGTTGCTGATGTAGATTATTTTCCTGATGTCATTTTATGGGGCTGCTTTTATATAGCAAGGCCCTAACAGGAAACATAGAAACTGATAACCATAGCCTTACCAGATGAGGCCGAGACTTCATCTTGCTCGTTGTCCTGTTTCCCACAACAGTCAATAGTGAATTTCTTGGGAACAAGACAAGTAATGGATGGATCCCCAGACTGTCCTCCTGGCAGCCAGAGGCTGTTGACTTTGTGTGTAAATAGCCTCTTGTATATAGTAATAGTGACCCAAAAGAGCGTTTTATAATCCGGTTATGTTTGCCTAGCCACGTGTAATGAATGTGTGTATGCCGAGGCTGAGCAGAAGATCCTGTTGCTCTCAATGACAAGGAGCGTGGACTCCTTAATATTTGGATCCTTCTATGTTATACTTGATGAAAGTACTATCAAATGAAGATCATCAGAGAGGAAAGATGGTTATGGCTGCCCTTCCCCCCCTTTTTTTTTGTGTTTCACAGGAAAGCAAAGCACTGTGTATTATCTTAAAATGAGAGGCACCACTGCAGGTCAGACCCCCTGAAAGCAGCACAAGCCAGGATTTCTGGTTATTGCACCATGAGAGAGTTGATCTCCAAAACTACAGTCTGTGCAGACCTTGCTGTAGCATTAGCCTACACCCTACTATTATTTCAGTGTGACAGCAGACCTCCTTGTTTATGTCTTTGTATTGGTGTGCAGTTTGGCACTGAATTGATTTCTTGAATGAAATATGCTGGAAAGTAGTGGCCAACTGCAACTAATCTTTTTTTCAAAATTTTTCTATGGTCATGAAGAGAAAAGTAGTGATTCTACTAGTTGTATCTGACCCTGTGTCCTGGCTCGGATAATGGTAAATAGCAGATATCTGAAGGGAGAGCATAAGAAACGCACATAGAAGGTTGTCCTCCTCCAGCATACTCCCTCATCTTTCAGCCATCAACAGTGTAGGAAGTCCCTGAGCCAGGGGCTGCATCATACTTAATAGTCCCCTATGGTCCTATTCTCCATGGATTTATCTAATCCTCTTTCTAATCCATTTATATTTTTGGGTTTTGCAACATCCTGTGTCACTGAATTCTAAAGTTTTATGGTAGAACACAAGATTTAACAACATGCTGGAAGTTTCAGCAAATAACAGCAGAAATGAATACTTCGCCTACTACGTTTTCCTTACTGTTACATCTCTTTCACCAGGCAGTTCTGCTCTCTTTACTCTTTTTTTGCTTTATTCCTAGAAATTTAGGGATTTAAAAATAAATAACTCTAGACACAGAGTAGCAAATCCTGTGTCACAGCAGCAGTACGTTCCATTAGTGCAATGATAATTCCTTGCCATCCTCTCAATTATTCAGAATTTAGGGCAGGATGGAAGAATTTGAGTATAAGAATAAAACCAACACTGCGTAGACACGTAAGAACAGGAAACTTCACTATGAGACTTCAATTTCTCATTTAACGAAGTGTATTTGAAATAGAAATGCATTGTCTTCAGATCAACGTTGAAATTAATAGTTCTCTTGTGTGGTGTTCTTGCATCCCATGGATTAGTCCTTTTTACTTGTATTCTTCTTCCACATCAAGTATACACAGAGTATACAATCAAAGAATTTCATTCTGACCTTGTGTGTTTTCAGGATTGAGGCTTGGGCATGATGGACGTGTGTTTATACGTAAAGTTAGATGAACTGATTCCTGCTTTAAAATCTGCCACTCCTCTTAAATTAAAACATTGTATTATTTGAGCAAAGATTTTTTTAGCTTCTGTCAGCCTGTTAGCCAGGTTTATCATTGTGATGACTTGAATTCTTCCTGAATGCTGCAGCCAGAGTTGCTTGTGCCTCCTGCAGGGCCTGAGGCACTGGGGGATCTGTTACTGTAGCACTGCTGCTGGTGCTTTCTTGCTGTCCTCTGACTGAACACAGTAAAGGTAACACAGAGGACTGCAGCGGTAACGTTTCTTGTGTTAGGGATTTGTGTACGTTAGTAGGCGGTAACATCATGTGCTGAAACAACATCTTTGAGTTGGAATACTTTCTCTTACCATCTTTTTCCCTCGTATCCTGTGGTCGTTTCCCAGCATCAAGAGGTCAGACCAAGGTGTTCCCAGGCATTGTTAATTTATTCAGTAATTTACATAACCTTTTTAGTCTATCTCAAAAACCAGCTTAAGGTCACTTACATTAAGAACTGCGCGGGAAACTTTTCTCTTAACCCCAGCAATGACTCCTCTTTTGCAGTCTTGCAGTGGATTATCCCTGTATTTGCTTTCCCAGTGAATTGGTGCCTGTGTTTTTGTCAGAATTTTAATGAGAGACTGGAAGAAGGATGAGGAAAAGGCTCTGAGGTATTTATCTTAAAACCTTTGTGTGGCATATGCAATTAACTTGCCAGAGCTAAGTATGTACACCTTGGAAAGAAGCGGGAATTGGTGGCAGATACTGTTCTGAGACTCAAAAGATGCCAAAATTGAAGTGGATGATGAAGAGACTGGGTATCAAGGAAAAAAACACTTTAGCAATGGGTACCAAAAAAGTATGTTTCTTATCCTTTTTAAGCTTCAGATAAACGTGGCATAAGAAGGAGCAAACCTTTGTAACCAGATGAGTTTTTCATTGCTACGTTTTCGGATTCATACTGAACTATATTTCCGTCGTTTGGATATTTTTGCCTTTTTCAGTGGAGACTTGTCCTAGCTGACCAGAACTTATTAGAAGTAACCCTGTTCCCTCCTCCAAGCTACAGTTGTCCTTCTCAGCATCATTCCCTGCCTTTCCCAGAAGTTTTCTTTCTGCTTTTCCCAGTTGCTTTTGCCGCAAATAAGCTGAGGGCCCTTTTAAAAAAGAAAATGTGAAGCTGCTCTCTCTATATCTCCAGATTGCTGGTTGCTCGCAAGGTATGTCTGTTACTAAATGACGGTTACCCTGAAAAATGGTGACTTGAGAAATAGCTGGAGAAAACAGAAAGTAAGTCTGATAATGTGGCTGAGGTCCATTAGCAAGAGTCAAGATAAACGATATTCTGCTTTTCAGTGCACAGCTTAGAAAGATGAAATGTGCTGTGACAAGCTTTTTATTTATTGTCTGAAAATAATTGTTACACACGCCATCTGAAATATCCTTTTGGGTTAAAAGAAAAAACAGTGCGCACAAGCATTATCCAGATCAATGAATTATGTAGTGTTTGTGGGCATCAAAGTGTGTTAGAGGAAATTTAGATTTAGAAAGGCACAGTAAGCAACTTTTTTATTGCACTTAATTTGTTCTAACACTGTTGTTAAACATTTTATCCCTGTTATTTTTGCGCTTTGAAAGCAGTAGTAGTTCTTCAACCAGTTCTTCAATGTTAAGATACAGAAAACTGCGAAATAAGTTCAGGAAGGTCCTGCAATAGTCATTATGTTGACTACTTGACATATACACTACACGTATATCATAAAGCCTTCAAGTAGTCAACATAAAGCCTTAAAAGCCAGGTGTATATTATCAGTTTTCTAAAATATGACCTTTTGCTCTGCTCCTGAGTCTGAAGAAGCACTCTGTCGTGGTCTGAATGAAACTGCATTTGACTCACTTTGGAGCTTTTGAACCTAGAACATCACTGCAGAATGGGATTTGGGGACAGTGTCCTTGTATAGTAGAGATGAAATCTGTTTCAGAATGTAGTGCAGTCCGGATCTGATCTTGTGCGGAGGGAAAGATCTTATACTGTGGATTAAATGGTTTTAAGATTTCTATTCTCTGATGATAAGCCTATGTTTATATTTAAAACAATGTTGTTTACTTTGTTGTCAAAGGGAGAGATGGATATCTCTTTCCTCTGCACCTTTTCCAAAAATAATGAAAAACAGTTTAACGCCTTCATGCTACAACCCTTCATTACGGTATGTGAGATAAATTCTTATGGTAGTTATCTATCACAAGATATATATATTACATTTATGGTGTGAAAGTCACTGCATGTTCCCCTGAACTTAAGAGGGGAAAAAAGGTTCTTCCACAATAATCCTGAAGCAAAGGATGAATGAGGAAAGACAGAAAAATTAAATATATATAAGAGGTACTATTTTGTTCCAGCCTGAACAGTGCTGGAAGGGTGTCCTAATGCCTGGAACCACTGTCTTTGAAACTGTATTTCTGAAATATAAAAATATCAAAATAAATTTCATAAAAATGCTAAAGGAAAATGTTACTGAAGCATAAATTACAAATGCAAGGAAGAATTTATGTAGATTATGTTCTCAAGCTGTGAATGGGATGGGCCCAGAAATCTAATGGCAAATTTTGAAAATTCTGGCATACCTGTTAGCACAGGTATAAAAGACATAAAGGTTTGGGGGCATTTATGATTTGGAAAACAAGTTTTGATGCAACAGTGTTGGAGGGTTTCATATATTATTATGAGTTGTAGCTTTTAGCTTTTTTTAGTTGTAGTAGAAATGCTACTAAGGATCTTACTTTGCAGACCTTCAATTAACAGATGTGGGTTTTGTACTGTTGTTTGGTTTGTGAGTTTTCTTTTATTCACAGCACGGTACATACCGTTGTGTGGTTGCAAGGAGGCTTGACTGAATCCTGCCGGGGATCAGAAGCAGAGAGTTAGTCTTGCCCTTTCCAATCTGCTACCAAGCATAACGCCAATGAACATGCACTGTTGAGTGGCTGCAGTTGCAGAACAGCGGCTGCTGGCATCAGGAGTAAGCCAGAGAAGCTGAAATTAAAATTCTGTTGCAAAGAAAAAGGAGGATTTCTTGATACTTACAGAAACCAAGCAGTGATCTAGTTGTTTAAATGTTAAAATAATAAGCACGTGAATATAGAGGTATAAAGGATGTACATGTAAGAAAAATATGTTATCTTTAATAGCTAATAAACATAAATATTCCTAATGGAAAAGAAGATTTTTTTCCTGGGTTTTACCTGGTTTTATATTCATTTGCCCAATCCTGCCTTTTCCATCGAGAATGATGGGGGAAGACAAGCGGCTGTATTTCACAATCTAGCGTGAAATACTTAGCTGAGATGAAAACTATGCGAGATCAAAGGTGCTTCTTACCCTTTAATAGTAAGCTGTTCTCGTTTGGAAATAACATTGTTTTTCTGTGATGGTGTCCAGTGTGCCAGCTCTGACTGCTGTAACTTTATGAAATGATGTTAGCCTGTAGCACTAATATATGTTGGTTTTCTGTTTGGGTGGGTTTTGAGACCTAGGGCATATGTAGTGAGAACTATAGGACTATGCAGGTAGAACTGTTTTTGCAATCACAAAGGAAGAAAGATGACCAAGGAGAGGCATAAGGTATGATATATAGGCAGCAGATAGTAAATCTTAGAGGTCAGTCTGTGTGATGGTCAGGAATTGTGTCAGAGGGCTAATTTTGAAAAAAGAGTATGAGGAAAGTGAAAGTTATTTTTGAAAGCTGGTGGTGTGTCACAGTCTCAAAGTCTGGTTACTTTTGTTTATCCTAAGGCAGTTTCTGCCTTAGGACGTCTTCTAATTCGGGCAATGTTGGGAAGATCCCTGAAGATTCTTGATGCATCATGAACCTCACAGAGATTCCAGGATGAGATATTCATGATGTTCTGAGTTGCAAATGATGTTTGTATTCAGGGCAGGAAGGGCAGCTGTTTGATGTGTTTTAAAAAATAATAATAAAAGTACATAGCCTTTCAGTTCCTAAAAACTTGCCGGTTGTATACCTTTGTGTATCCGTCAGGATTTTGCACCTGTCCTTTTTCTTGCAAAGACAGTGTCGGTTTGATGTGTAAGAAAGCCGTTAATGGTGTGCAATTTTGCTTTATGTCTGATCTCTATGCGGTTATTCATAAAACCCTTCCTGTTCCTTTGTACCCTTGCTCTCTGCTTTAGTGTGAACAATCCCACCTAATGAGAGAGCACGAAGACGTGCAGGAGCGAACAACGCTGCGCTACGAGGAACGAATCACAGAGCTGCACAGTATCATTGCTGAATTAAATAAGAAGATTGATCGACTGCAAGGAACAACAATAAGGTACTGAAACTCCCTGGAAGTTCTGGGCTAAATGCAGGCATGGTGCAAAATGGTGGGTGACGTACGTTGTAAACATAAGTTGATGATAACTTTAAGGTATTTAAACTTGTTGTGACTGGTACTAAATGGCTGTCCATAATTAGGGCGTGTGTCCTTGGCACAATCCAGTGTTCTGTAAGGCATCCGTGTCATCCCAAGGATGAATGGCAGTGTATTCTCATGGGTAGAAATGCACTCTGGTGAGGCTAGTGAATCCTGCAGAGAACTGCACTGTGCCATCTAAATGTTCCTTTAGTTTAATATACATGCCAAGGGGCCAGGTAAGTGATAGCAGTAGCGGCAAAAGGAAGATGTAGCCACCCAACCTGCACCTCCTTTTTTAACCTTCTGTGGCATTCACACATCACCTAAGCCAAATCACTTCTGATGAGAAATACAGATCGTATGGATTTCAATAGCTTTTATTCAATTTGTGCTAGCAGTTGTGACAACGATACGCGTCACATTGTTGCCTGTTCTTGGAACAGCAAAGCTTGGGGCATTGCATTAGGCCATTACTTTGTTACTGTTTTAAAATAAAATTTACGTTTGACTACAGGAGAATACTTATTTTTCCTCACTTGTTTTTGTCTATTATTCTCATCGCAGAGAAGGTCAGACTGGAAAAAGGAAGGAGCTTCTTAAAGCTTAATTTGTGGGGATGCATGTAAGCCACTAGAATCTAGGAATTTTCCAGAGAAGATCCAATTAGAGTTGACACCTTTGTAGGTGAAGTTTACGTGATGCTCTTCCCATGTAGCAAAGTTTGAGTTTTTTCTTGCTTATTAGCTGCATGCTTTTAAGAAAAAAATGGTGTACTATATATAATAGAAAATACCGTTATGCATGTATACCATGTAATTCTATCACTAGTTTTATATGGCATTGATCTTATGTAGAAAGATAAGTACTGCAAACTCTAGTGGTCATAACTGGTGATAGCCATGGTGATATTTTTTTCGGGTAAAGGTATCTAAACTGATTGTACTTCTCTGAAAAAATTGCTATGACTCCATGGTCATTCATGCTTGATAGCTCTACGGTCAAACCTTCCATTTATTTTGTTTAGTCACCGTGTTGTTTCAGCATGGCGCTGGCTACCCAGCCATCTTGACTTCTGGTAAAATTCCACTAGTTGAAAAGGCTGGTTGAAGAGCAAAATATGGGAAATATCAAAGTTGCACTGATATTTTTTTGAATGACAGAAAAACTCGGTGGAAAAAAAAATACTACATAATAACCACAAGAAATTTTTGGGTGGAGTCCTTGGGCCAAGCTACATGTATCAATTATAAAGTATTGGAATTTGGTGGATGCTGTGAATGTGCTGCCACATCCATTAAAAAAGTCAGCTCTGGCATGCAGAGTTAGAATGAGTTTGATGCCAAGTGCATGCTGCTGCTTGCAAAAGTGCAGTGGCTGCTTTGGGGTGCAGGCTGTTGAAGGCATTGGAATAATACTGCTGCAACAGATGCCAAGCCACTGTTGCGTGTGATTGTACAGTTATATCGTACGAGCACTCGTTTTGCTCAGATTGCTGGGCTACCTCCTCTTTTTCTTTTTGTTCTACTTTTGTTAGGAAGAACAAAGCCATGTATGAAGTTTTTAGTTTTATTTCCTTTAATGATTGGCACAGCTTACTTTCTTGGGCAGCCCAATACCTTGATGTTTGGGGAATGGAGAAGGAAAATTCTTCCTAAAAATGGCAAACAGAGGTAGAATTGGAGATATTCCATCCGGTTTATAAAGACAACTGAAAGAAGCAGTGTTAATACTTCCTGCTGGGACTTTCTGTAAATTTACTTTACGATCTTCTTGCCTCACTCTTTCGAATGTGTAACATCTCACAGAGCAAGGGTGGTATAATTGCTATCTCTGCTGGGACAGGTGTGCTGATGGTGCTGCACCCTTGGCTGTTGGGAATGTGAGCTAGGGAGCTGGAACAAAACAGTTCTGCACGAAAGTGTCCTGGGAAAATGGCTGTTCTAGGGCCGTTCTGCTAAATCAGAATACGAGAGGGATTTTATTTTTAATTTTTTAGTATGATTCTTAGATATCTGCAAGTACGCATACTGAGATAAGACTTTGCTTGTAATATCACACAGTTTAGGCTTTCTGAAAGCAGTTTCTCGACTCTACTTTAACTACAGAACAGAGAAGTGTCTCCCCAAGACTGACTCAGAGATTGTTCGGTATTTTCATGTATAGTGTTTAGGCTGTAAAAATAAACTACCATGCAGCCAGAAGTACTGCTGCTTTATGACATTCTTCATGGTTCCTCCCGATGAACAAAAATATTCTGGAAACAATTAGAAAAAGCCAGAGTTGCACAGAGAGAATTTGACTATCTACTTGAAGCTGTAATATCTTTAGATTGGTAACTATCGATATGAGGGTAAGTAAGCACACAAGCAGCAAGAATATGTAAGTCTGAAGAAGCTATTGCGACAGCTTGAGGAGTTTTGGTAGATGGTGTAAGCTAATTAGTGTTCTCCGTTCAGTTTGTTTGTTTGTTTTAAGAACGTTAGGTGATGTCAGGGTGATTTACACAGCTTGCAGTGTAATGGCTTTTGCTTGCATGGTTCAGTAAGTCCAGCTGTAGGAGAGAACTTAAGTCACATGCCCGTGTCTGTGTCTCTTCCCAGGTATATTTGATAAGCTACTCTTAGTAACAATAGCCTGATGGGAGTTATTTTAGAAATGTCTGTTGATATTCTAGATTTGCTAGGCATTTCTTGGGCATAACAAGTTCCATGTGTGTGGCCACATGAAGTTAACTGCTGCTCTTCCGCTACGTTCTTCCAGCATTCTCTAATGAAATTGAGGTCATTGGTTATGGGAGCAAGCCAGCATTTCATCTGCAATTGTCTCATCTCCCTGCTGATGCTCTAGACCCCCTCAGCTGGTTTGGAAATTCAGGCTCACTGGGAAGAAAAGAAAAGAAAAGAAAAAAAAAAAAAGCTGTAACTGATTAGGGCTAGAAGAGAATTTCCTGTACTCGTACAATGTAAGTAGACTAGCTTTCTTGCTTGCTTCGTTCTTGAAGCCTGACAATGCAGAATTTACCCTCTGTGAGTTCAAGAAGGTAGCACCTTGGGGGTGAAAGGACGCTAAAAGTGGTCCACCAAGATGAGGATAAAACTGAGCAGGCTGAAGCCATAAATAATTGTTCTGTTTGTTCTTGGAAAATTTTAATTGGATGACTGTGTTTCACTGTTCTGGTCTGTGTTATTGGGGAGGAGGTGGGAAGAGGTGGCTTGTATTTGGCTTAAGTTTGTTGTAAAACTCAAGTCACAGAGCTTCAGTCAAATGTTGAGCAAAACTGTTGGATTTAAGAGTCTCTGATGTTTGTGCAGAGAAAATATAGAGCAGGTTTTGTCAGCTTCTTTCAGTGTGACTGCCTTTCACTGAGTGGTGCTAGCTCTGAGCTCCTGTTAAAGTATCAAGTGGATACAGGTGGTAATGTTTCCTCTAGTTCTGCTTTTCCCGTTTGCAGGAGAGGTTTTGTTTGTTTTTTCATTCGTTAATTCTCTATCCTTTGAGAAGGTGTATGCCTGCTGTCCGAGTGTGCACAACTTTATAAGTCAGGAAAACCAGTCAAATGGATCTTTCCAATTGCAGCAGTCCTATTGTAAATATTTGGGTATAAAGGATACGTAACTCTGAAACACAAAAAAGATATACAAACTACGTTAATAGCGTACTAACAGGGAATTATGTCTATATTAAAGGTGAACGCTCCTGACTTCAGAAGCTTATGGTATTGCTATACATTGATTCAAGCTCAACTTCCTTTTTCTTAATCATGTCATTGGCTGGAAAAATTATCCATAATCCAGTTAAGCAGAAATAACTTTGGCCTTTGACTGACAGTTTTCCTTAGAAGTCATCCTGATGTTCAGCAGAAGAGAGAGATCAAACTGTTCGGTGTTCTAAACCCGTTGTTGTTTGGGTATATCTGTGCAACTCTGAAAATTATAAACAATAATACCAGAAGGGCCTAGACTCTCTTGCTTTCTGGTGCCTGCTAAGGATTATTTGAAACAGTTGTTGAGAATTTTGTAAGCCGTTGCTGCAAAACCATTAGTCTAGAATTACGGCTTTTAATCTGAAATGAAACATATTCAGAAAGTAGGTTGTCTTGGGGTTCATGAGGAAGAAGGAGAGTGAACAGCCTACAGCATCACAAGAAATAGCACCTGGCGCTCAGAGGCATACCTACACAGTGACCTAGAGGTGTGATTCTAGCTTCTGAAGATGTACTAGGTTGGAGCTGTTTGGATTCAGTTCAAACACCACCGTGGATGTGATAGCGTTGGCTTCAGCCTACAATGCCCAACCCCACCTGTCTTCAGTGACTGATTCCCATGCTGTCGCAAGTGTATTGCTCTTTGTTCACAACTAGTTTAGGGACAAATCAAGCGTGTATATGCAGGGAGCAGTCGATTGGTGGGTTGCAGTGCGCATGTACCTGTAGCGTTCTCCATCTGAAGGCCTCAGAATGCTTTAAAAATACTTGTTAAAGGAAAAGAGTTGTTGAAAAAACAGCTGGCACCTGAAGTATGAAACCATCCAGTGTTTGCAGCCGTGAGGGAATGTGCACCTTACCAGTGCTCTGGCAGAACTCTTCAGTGGTGTGAAAGGATGCTAACAGTGTGCTGGTTTTGCTCACTGACTGATGCAGTTTGTCTCAGTGTCTGTGCAGTGGTTGTGATCCTTGGCTGCAGCCTAACACGAGGGAAAAAATAAGTGTATAAGTACCTGCAAAAGACACTTTTTCTGGTCCAGCGCTTGACCCCAGGCTGATCTGTGCTTGGAACAGCTTGATCTGATCTTAACTGCTTCCAGCTTACCATGACATTCCAGCAGCAGGGAACCATCAAACAGAGCAGAGCAGGTATCTCATTTCTCCAGCCAGAACCTGAATGATGATGGCAGGGAAAGCAGCGTGAGGATTGCTGTGATGCCTTCAACCTCTAGGTGGTATGGCAGGAGTCCTGGGGCTAGTTGCATCTCTAGGCCAGTATCTTCTGTTACTGTAAATTTCAGTTTTAAACACAGAATTTCTATTTGCGCTGCCTTCCTCAAATTTCCCCTTTGTATTTTAGCCCTCGATCTGTGCCCTATGAGGCCGCAGGTGGAGGGACTGATTGACCTTCCTGTTGCTGACGGAAGTGGATTTCTGATCTTTCTGGGCAGGTCGTGAGACCTAGAAGCATAAATTCAGCCAAAAACTGGATTCTCAGTTGAGTCCACAGAAGAGTGTGAGTGCTGCCACGTAACATGCTTTTCTAATGTCCCGAGATACTGAGGGTGCTTTAAATTGAAAAAAGAGCATTAGTGCTAGCTGGACCAAGCCATGTTGTGTTTTAAACGGAAAAGCTTTGCAATGAGAGCCAAAAGGATTGTGGTGAGAACTGATTGTTGTGTGTGTACAGCCGGCATCATTGTATGATCGGAGCAGCCTCTCATCCATTTGCAGGGGTATTTCAGGTTTTAAAATGTAGGACTAACTGTAGAGAGGCTGACGTATAATGAAAAAATGAATTACTTTCAGGCCAAAAAAATTCAGCTCTTTGAGTACATGGTAATTGTTTTTGTCGGAAGCTAATTATTGTTGGCTTGTGTTATGGTTAATAATTAACTCATTCATTGAACATTAACTCATGCTTATGCGTCTTTCTTGCTCTGTTTTAATTCCTGCTATTCGTGATTTAGTTCTCACACTTTCTTAAACATGTGTTGCATAGCGCCTTGCTTTGATCTAAATCTTAATTTTAACCAGTTGACTTGCATTTTTGTTTAATAATAGTCTCTAACTGCTTCTGATAAAGTCTAACTTTCCGTGCACTGAAGCAAATGTAAGGGTTGGAAGAGCCTAATAGTTCCTAAGGAAATTACATCTCAGTAACTTCAGAAACCCTGCTTGGCAAGCAAGCTGAAGTTTCTTTTTTTGCGTTGTCCTGATCACTTGTCACCTCTGCCACTTTGAAGACTTTTCTTCAATCAGTGTTCCCTGTATGTACAGGCCGTCTTCTTTGCTAATTTGCCTGGCAAATCCAGTCAAACCTTCAGGCTAAATCCTGCAAGATTTCTGCATGAAAAACTCATCACTGTATAGTGCGCGCACAGCAGATTCAGATTACAGGTGCCCCTCCCAGATGCAGATCCCCAGATAGCTCTTTGCTGTTTCTTGCTGCCTCCAAATCCAGACAGCTCCATTTTCATGCTGTTTCTCATCCACCCTTCTGCTGAAATTGAAGCAAAGTGAACTTCTGCACTTGACTTAATGTGTAACAAAATGAGGACTGTTTGCTCACTTGTCAGAGGGCCTCTGCACCTGTATAAACTGATGTTTTTCTCATGTTTAAAAAGTGCACCTTACTGTCAAAATAATCATTACAGAGGTAAAATTTATTTTTCTGAGTCGTATCAGCAAGTGGATCAAAAGAAAAAAAGGTTTACAAATGTTCTCAGGCAATTATCCATTTACGTATCTTCTTTCCCAGTGCTTTGAACTCTTCATGTGAAGACAGGCGGGAAAAGCCCTAATTTTTTAAGCTCGTTAGCTTTAGCTAAAGTCTTCTGTGGCCTAAATTATTTTGGTAGAACCAGCTTGACAAATTACAGTTAGAACCCAGGAAATGGAGGCTTTTTGTTTCCCAGTAACTGCAGCAGTTTGATGCCATACTCCCTTCTCTCCCTTTTGAGAAGGGAAAATGAAAACCTGCCTGTCCGTGGGAGAATTCTGATGCACGTGTGTAGGTACATGCATGTGCGCACTTGCTTCACGCGTGAGCCTACGGCAGGCTCAGACTGAGAGACAGAACAAAACTGGTTATTGCCAATCTGCTCTGGGATCAAAAGCTGCCTGTGCAATCAAGAATGGTCAGTTAGGGAGTTACTGCATAGCAGTGCATGGCCTTCTTGTGTATAAGTGAGGACGTGTGCGTGTGAAAAAAGCCCCGAGTTCCTCTTATTGTTTAGTTTTGTGGTGATCTGGAATAAGAAAGACCTTGAGAATAAAGAAATCGAAGGCAGGCACTGGGTGCCGCAAGTGGCTGTTACGGGTGTAGCGCAGGGGAAATTGCTTTGTGGTGAAGGATGTAAACCCTTTTCTATTGGATGGACAAAACCCTCTTATCCTCAGTTGCATTGTATCCTGTTGCTCTGATTACAGGTCTGAAATAAGTGCCACGGAGCTGCTATTTCCTCAGAGGTTTTTATTTTTGCCTTTGTGCTCTCTCTCAGGGAGGAAGATGAGTATTCGGAGCTGCGGTCAGAGCTCAGCCAAAGCCAGCATGAGGTCAATGAAGACTCGCGCAGCATGGACCAGAATTCTGTTTCGGTACCGGAGAATCAGTCCACCATGGTCACTGCAGACGTGGGTGAGTTATACTTCTTAGTTGACGTGATGCTTTCTAGCAGTAGCAAGATATCCTTGCCTTGGAAATGCCAGTCAAACAGTTGGTGAGGAAATAGATGAATCTAGGCCATGTTAATCAAAACAAATGTTGGAACTTATCCACAACCGTGAACTTGCATTTGAAGTAATCTCCATGCCTTTGTGTGGAATAGCTACAGAGTCTAAAAGGGGATAATCTGTTCAGGAGAGTCCCTAATGCGCGAAAGGAAACATTCTTTTACGTGCATTCCCCCAAAGGTAATAATTTAAAAAAAAAAAAAAAAAAAAAGCTGTGCACATCCTTTTCTTGTACCAGCACAGTAGTCTAACCCTAGAAAAGAACTGCAGACTGAGTAAAAGTTGGGGGGAAAAGGCCTGGGGAGTGGAAGTATCTATCTTGTTTTTCTGCAACCTCATTATAAAAGCTATCTTGAGTTTTTGAAAATTGAGCCCTTTAAAAGTATTGTATAGAGATAAATTATTGAATTGGATTTAGCCCTGGATAAACCTGACCTAAGCCATTCAAGTACAGTGCAAGGAGAGAGCACCTCCAGGCAGTCTGTAAGTAACGTTTTGTGGTTAAGAACAAAGAGGGCAAAAGTATCTCTTCTTCGTACAAAAAGTATCTCTTCTTCAGAATTCCATCTGTTTTGCCATCCAGGCACAATTACTGATTGTTTGAGGAACCTGCAAGTACAAAAAATGTTACTGTAATCCAAAAATGCACGTGATTGTAATATAAGCATGAGCAGATAATAGGCCTAAAATGTGATAATATTCTAACTGGCTGGACACCATTGCAACCACAGTTAACCGCAGGCTAACAGAACTCCGGTGTAATCCTCATTGTGACTAACTTCAAGAATTCTCTTCAGACCATTCTCTTAACTGATATTTAAAAACGTAGCTTTTCTTCCCTAGGTAAACTGCCTGTTTATGTGGGAGCTTCTTTAGGCTGACACTGTACATGAGCAGTGTTTTAACAAATCATTGAAACAGTAGTCTGAATCCTTGTTGCAGAATGCGTGATCCTTACATATTAGGCCATTAACTTGATGTGAGGCTTTAATGGTTATAATGCAACATGTAATATTTGCTTTCCTACATTTCATAAACTGTCTTGAAACAGTTTCCACTTACTTAGAGCAGTGCACTTCATAAGTGAGAATTTTTTGCTGTTTTTTTTCCCAAGACAGTACTTTCTAGAAGAACTGACCTGAGAACAGGCTGACTCTTGGGCATAGTATTATTCATTGCCCTCAGGTGCAGTACAATAATTTAGAAAATATGTTGCTATTCTAAGTAACCATATAAAATATAACTTTTCTGTATAACTTAATAAATTGAAATAAATGACACCAATTCCAGAACTGCATTTGCTCATAAATGCAAGACCTGCTGCAGCACATTTGTATTTCAGTGTCTTGAATTTCTAGAAGCACTGACAGAGCAATATTAATAATAATAAGTATCCCACACCTGGAGTTCAACTTATTTTTAAATACTTAGCAACAGTGGAGTTAACATATTTTAGTAGAGGTTTTTATAGTCTTAAAAATTGGATGCTTTTGCTTTCAGAAGTAAATGCTTAATGTTAAGTTTCTAGTCAAACATATTCTAACATGAGTTCTCTTTTTCTTTCTTTCTTTCTTTCTTTTTTATTTGACAAAGAATTTCAAACTAATTTACTTTTCAGCATTTATTTTGCGGTTGGGGCTTTGAGTTTATTCCTTATGGGATGGAACTGAAGTAGGGTTTGTGTGCATTAGCCGTGAGTTGTCGTTTTAAGTTTCCGCTAACGGTGGAAAACATGGAAATAAAATGAAATACAGCAACACAAAATAAAATGAATGTTAGCCTTAGGGTTTCTTTCATTTATCCATGTTCTTCTTCCATGTGTATGCTCGGGTTTGTTTTTTGTTTGTCTGTTTCAATATTCCTTTGAAAGTAAATCCCCTTATGTGTGCGTTTATATATATGTATATGCATTTATTTATTTATATGTATACACGCATAAATGGTAAATAATCATGACCTAATAACAGTATGTATGGCCTTGCTTATTGCACTAATGGAACGAGCATCAGTGACTTAGTAAATACACTAATATGTCATGATACACTAATGCCTTTAGATATACTGGTCTACTTCCTATAAGCAATAAAACAGTAAGAGCGAAAACTATTAATCCTCTGTGGTTTATCTTGCAAAGCTCATGACTGGGTTGTAATAGTTTTCTGAGAAAAATGTCTCTCTCTAACGTTATTGTAAACCTTATTTTTTCAGGGGAAGAAATGGTGCTGTAGAGCCAAAACTTAGCATATGTGGTCTTGTGTGAAGGTTGTTTGTTAAAATGGGCAAAACGTGTATTATATAAGATGTTATGGAGATTAAGGAATTAAGCAAATAATTTTTTTTTTTTTTACAGTTAAACATCCTCTGTGGTATATGCCACTCATAAGTGAGTTCTATTATTAAGGGGTATTTTTTATGTTATTGTTAAAGCAAAAGGGTGATTGTTAGTCAGGAGCTGTGTTCAAGAGTTGTTTCATATGTGCATTGCCTATTCACGTTTGTTATGTAATACCGTAACTTAATTATAGGTGGTTTTTTTTTTGTCAGCAGTAATTTCATATCTATTCATACTACGTTGTGGGGATAGATTTGTGGTAATGAGTTTACAGTTATTTACTTTCTGGCCTTTCATTGCCTACCTCTTTCAGTCTTCTCTTGCACTGCGATTTTTCAAGGCATTCTAAAGTAATCCGATGTCTCATGCTTGTTAAGTTTTAGATGCAGTTCAGTGCCGGATTCCTTTAGGTCGCTTTAAAAACCTCAGCCGTGAGGCTCGTGTTTGGAAATTCTGACTGTAGTGAAACCCTCGGAGCAGTAGTATAGAAATAACGCCCTGCAGCAAGAGTGCCTGCCGCTCTTTTAAATAAGATACAGGAACTGATGGTGCACCACTTCTGTACTGTGCAGTCAGCAGTTAATGTCAAAGTCCTCTTAATTAGTAACCTAGAAACAAATACCAGCTAATACATTTGAGAGACAGCACAAAAGTGAATTCTTCCATGTTCCTTAGGAACTACTGCTATGTATCACCAAATGTGCACTTTAGAAAGATGAAAATGTGAGCTAGATGAAGTGTGAGCTAGATGAAAGATGAAAAGTAAGCTGGCAAGGTGTTTTCCACACAAGTGGAAGGTGCTGTGGCAATGCGCAAAGCGCCAGAACTTTGCCGAAGGACTGCAGGGGAAGTGATTCTCTGCCACCTCTTGTAATTCAGATAGTGTTCTTGTATATATATTGTTTATACAGCAGCAAAAAACAAGGGCTGCTCTTACACGTCATGCATATTCTGCAATTGAATCTGAAGAAGAAGTGGGTGTAAAAATGAAACACGGGCTCTTAAATAGTTGCTATGGGTCTTTTTTGTAAGCACAAGACCTTTGAAGTTGGGAGGTACCTAACTACAACTACAAAAATTTCTCTGAGAAACATCAAGTCATAATGTCATTGAATGTGCTGAACAGAAGAACAGGTGAATTTCCATAGAAAAACCTTTCAGGGTAAGAAAATCAGGATTGAAGGACTGAAGGGCAGAAAGATTGACAAAAAAGAAATTGCATATTCTGTTAGCATGTGGTGTCTTAAAAGTTTTGCCCCTCAGAAAAGAAAGCCCTCTGAAGTAAGAATGAGCATTTCAGATAAGCAGGGGGAGCGATATTTGTCAATTTGGAAATGACTTGTGGTTTGAGTTGAGATAGTTACGGTATTTAAGCCTGTCAGCTGATGAGGAAAAAAATGTCAGATTACAGGACATGCCTTTAACAAAAGGAGTGTTTAGCAGTTCTGCAACAAGTACTTCCTGGGTTAGAGTTTGTTGTTTCACTGAGTCACTCTTGGTTTCCATCAAATGTGTTCTTTTTATTTTGCAGATAACTGTAGTGACTTGAATTCAGAACTGCAAAGAGTGCTGACAGGTCTGGAAAATGTTGTCTGCGGGAGGAAGAAGAGCAGCTGCAGTTTATCTGTAGCAGAAGTGGATAGACATATTGAACAACTCACCACTGCCAGCGAACATTGTGATCTAGCCATTAAGGTATTGATAACATTAATCACTAAATGCAGTGAGTACCTTGCATGATGTGATAATATTCTGCAGAAATAGCACTTTATTTCCAAAGATGTCAAAATACTTGGAAAAAATCAACTCCAGCTCATAGTATGTGTTCGTTAGGTAGTCATACACCTGTTAATACACTAAATTCTCCAAGGCACAGGAGGAGCTACTAATAGATTTTTTTTTGGTCTCAAAACAGATGCATTTGTCTCATCCTCACCTCAGAGGTGAGAGTAACTGGAGCACTCAGCAGTTAACTTACTTTCTGAAGGTTATCCAGCAAATGAATTGTTACTTGCTCAAGGTCACACAGCTGATTAGTGACTAGTAACTGAAACTGCAATATGTAACCCTTCTGAAGTTTGAGGAGAAAATGCCATAAACTACATGTCAGTTGTGGTTTTGCTGTCTTAATGTTATAAAGCTAGTATTTAACACAAAGCATGGAGTGATAGATTAGTTCTAACAAGACAAGCCAGCCACAGAAACAGGTAATTCAGTTGATACTTGTATGTCTTGGTTTTATTGTACATGTAACAGAACAGTAAAAGAAAAGCCTGGTAACACATGTAGTGAAGGGGTTGTAATTCAAAACCTGAAAGCAAGGGAATAGTAAGGTGTCTTACTATAGAAAGGGAAACAGATGAGCAAATTTTTTTGTGTCAGATGGAAAAGCAGCAGTGACTTGTTTATCTATGAACAAGTGTAGCAACACTTTGCTCTTGAAGTGGTGAGGTCTGTGACCATTCCGAACTGCTCAGCTAGGTCCTTGGCATGCTGTGGGGCAAGGTCAGCTCTGTTCCTGGTGATGCCTAAAAAATATAATTGCCTGTAAAGAACTTAACATTGGAGGGTAGGTTAGTGAACATATGTTTGTAAGACAGAGAGATACTCGAGTCTCTTGCGTTTTCTGGAGCTTTAGGATTAAGTATTCTCAGTACTCGGTGTTCACTGACAAAGAGATTGTGAATCTTAGAAAACAGATGGAGATTAGTCTGTGCCTAGCGCACAAAAATCTCTGAAGTGAGAGGAGATGAGAACTTTTGCAGGAAGTGGATTCAGTAACATCACAAAACTGCTGCTAGAAGCTTAGTTCTCAAGCTGCTTGTTTATTTTTTTTTAAACGCCGTTGTTTACTGTTGATTCAAAGTAACTACAATCAGAGTTTTATCAGTGTAAGTAACTGTCAGCAGCTTCTCCCCAATACAAAATACAGTCCCTCTCCTTTCATGTGACCTCTCCGTGCACAACTATTTTGTAGGCCCTGGAAAGGGGAGGCTTCCCCGCTGCCTATGCAGGGATTGTTTGCGTTGGACGAGTGATAGCACGCAAAGGATGTTAACGTTTCAAGAAGATAAGGAAACACTCTGACATGCTCAGATTACAAGTTGTAGAAGCATGTCACCAATGCGTTTCATGTAGCAAAAATAGGCAGAGCTGCTCTGCAGTTCCACCCATTGCTACAGGTCGTTTCTGCTTTCCTGCTTCTTCAGAGTGAGAACAGAGTTTCTTAAAATGCATAGAATCATGAATGGAAACCTGGAATGTTCTGTTTTTTAATCCTTTGCTTTTACTGCTGATGATTTTCTTCATTGTTGAGCTAAAGTATTAGTATTTAAAATATTTTGAATCCTCCTGCTTTGATGGTTAGAGTTCATTGTTGTTGTTAATGGATACTGATCACGTTCAAAATATGGGAGCATAGAGACAAAAAGGTCCCTCAGCTTTGTTGAGGACCGTAGGGCAGCCACTAGTGCTTGTATATTTGCTAGTAGGCTTCAAATAATTTTCTGAGGAGAAGTTCCTACAGCTTCTTTTGTCTTGGAGATATTGCAAGGCATTTCTCCTTAGAGCATTATTTGAAGCCTACTAGCAAATATATAAGCAGAATTATAATTTAGATACTTTGTGGAGTTTTGTGTTTATGACTCTAAATGTATTAATGTATTACAGTTTTATGGGGGGAAATAGGAAATATGATTTAAAGGAGTAGACTGAACCTTGTTGCAAAAGTTTTGTCCCTACTTCTTCTACAGAGGCTTATGGAGTAATCTTCGACTAGTTGTTAAAAGTGTCTTGTCTTTTGTGAGTCTTTTCATGCCCACTAAGGATGGGACTCTTGCTATACCCCCATTTTGTTAAACAATATTAATTTGTTGATAACAGTAAAAAAACAGCTTTCCATTATCGTTTAGCCATGGGAGCATCTGTCCCCTTGCTGGTAGGGTGTGTGTGTGTGTTGCATGTGATTTTTCAGTTTCACCCAGTGGAAGTTGCTCAATCTCTTTTGCGCTGGATGGTGCCTACACAGCACAGTTCTCAGCAAGGGAAGGGGATGGGAAATGCTGAAAGGCATTATGTCCCAGAGAAAGCTAAACTTTTTTTTTAGGCACTAAAAAGACTGTAACCTTTCTGAGATAATGTAAGCCTAGCCAATGTACGTTTTCTTTCTTTTGCTTCTGTGTCGCTTTTAGGAAAGAATATGTCCCTAGGGACATAAAGAGGAGGACTCTTTTTCCTCTGCTCTTCCCTCTCTTTTCCTTGCCTTTTTTGTGAAGCTGGTCCAGCATGGAGAAAGGCCCCGTGCCCTGCACATACAACCACAGACGAGGCACAAGCTGCTGCTTTCTGCCTGTGACTCTGGCAGAGAAATAACATGCCCATGGCAAAGTCATTAGTTTGTTTTAAAGTGCTTTGAGAAAAAATTGCCCGGATTACTGTCATTCACCTTTTTTAATGAAAATAAGACAATTGATTTGTATATAAAGGATCCCTCTGCTCTGGTGCTAGACAGTATGAAAAATAGTAATAGAATGGCTGACCGTAATTTTGAACAAAAGAAGCAAAGTAACGGTGTTGCGGGGGGATGGGTATATGCATGTAATCCTATATTTGCCCTTTACACATTTTTGTGCTGTGTACCGTTAGTCTTGTTTAATCACCGTAGTTTGGTTCTTTCTGTTTTATGGTGACTGTATTTTTGCAGACGGTAGAAGAAATAGAGGGTGTACTAGGACGAGACCTTTATCCAAATCTATCTGAGGAGAGATCTCGATGGGAAAAGGAGCTGGCTGGCCTGCGGGAAGAGAACGAGAGCCTCACTGCCATGCTGTGTAGCAAAGAGGAGGAGCTGAACAGGACCAAGGCCACCATGAACGCTATTCGTGAAGAAAGGGACAGATTGCGCAGAAGGGTAAGGCCTGCCAGTCATCTCAGCGCTGCATAGAAAATGGCTTCTTGTTACAGGGGACAACTGAGGAGTCCTAGTCCATGTAATTTTGCCATCAAAACAGGCTTCACTTTCATCTCTCTTCCTGTACAGGTTTTAGGGTTTTGTTTTTAAAACCAAGCTATATGAATTACAGAGCTAGGGCAAAACTGAAGATAACTGACAAAGCATCTACGATGAGCAGCCAAGGTGTACAACCATCTTATGTCAGAGATCCTGTATTAACAGAAAACCTGATATTCGTCTCCGAGGAAGCACGTGTAACTTGTCTATAGAGAAAGCAGACGTTCATTTAGTGAATTTTCCTGTGAGGCATGTTTTTTCCTGTAAACCAGAAATATGTCTTTGTTTTTGAAGAGAATTCAATTTGTGATTAGGAGAAAGAAAAAGAGCAGGAGTCCTGTCACTGGGTAGCAACTCTCTGAACGGAGCAATGAGTAGTCCCAGCCACGTCCTATTTCCCTGTCTCCATTTTTTGACTGTTGTGTCAGACCTTGTGTTTTGTGTGAACTCTGCAATAAGAAAACTAGAGATTGTTATTAGAAAAGATGAAAGCTCAAGAGAATGTGAGCTCAATCCCTGTTACCTTTTAAATTAGTTAACCCTGTCTCTGTTAAATCTGTAGTGTTTTAGCTACATATCAAATAATTTCTGTTTCAAAACATGGCTGTTTCAAGCTTGTGCTCAGCTTGGCTGATGGTTTTTAGAGGACCATATCTTATTAAAAATTGTTGAAAGTGTTACCCTTTAGCTAATGACAGCAGAGCAACTTTTTATGCAAGTTCTATGTTTCTAAGAGAGCATTCTTTTTTAGCAGCAATATCATTTTAGGATGAAGTTGTCCTTTTTGCCATATCTAATCTTCAGATATCAAGCTACAGATTATTTTGGGAGAACTCTCTAGCCTCCCCCAACCCCAAAACAAAACAAAACAAAAAAACGTATTTGCGATGAAGGAGGAATTGTGGTCTGCCATCATATAAAACATGATCACTTTTCTAGCTTTTCTTTCCTAAAATTTCCTTTGCTAAAAAGGTTTTCTTTCCTAAAATTTCCTTCTATTATCTTCCATAAGAGTAAGTAGTTTTCAGTCCTGATGATTTTTGGACTGGTTTTATACTGACTTTTCTCTTAAAACAGAGTCACTACCACCCCTTGAGCTACAGAAGTAGCGTTTAGGTACCTGGTGAATTACTGTAGGTTTTGAGGGGTAGGGAGTGGTAGAAGTGTGCGCTGGTGAAATTTGCTTGCACAAACACAGATGATGCAGAGCAGTGTTGGGTTATCATACAAGAAAATTAGGTGAGCTTGAAGACAGACTTAATAGAAGTAGAATTAAATTTTGAGAAGTAAGGAGTTGCAAGGTCGTGTACTTAAAACTAGTAACAAGAATTTATACTGACAGCCAGGAGC